CGCCACGAACCAGTTGTTTTGTTTACGAACGATGTCCTCGTCTCGCGATCCCGCAACAAACTGTACGAAATACTCGAAAATTTACGTGCTCTTTCTGTCTTTCGACTTCACACGCGTTGCAGAGTTCGACGTATCAATGAACAAAAACACGATTCGCACTGTGTCGTCGTTCCCGAACTACGGTGTCACACTCGAGAAATGGGATCAAAATACGCGACGGATCAACACGTGTCTTCCGGTAATTATCGACGACCTCGAGCACGGTGTCTTCGAAAAGTTTAATGACTCATCACTCACGGTTTCATCGAGCCCCGGTTTGGTAAATTGTAATTGCGTTCGCAACAGGTGTTTAAAAAATGTCACTCCGTTTAACCGGGCAGTGACAGGACGCGTGTCGCGATCGAGAACGCGTCGACGGGGGCCTGACGAAACACCCGCACCCTTGAACGTATCGCGCGACACTGGCCGACCCTCGGTCGCGGCCGACACGGTTCAGCGCGTAGATGGCGCTGGCGTTCCCGAAGCGTTTGATAAACCGGGAGACGCCGGCATTCGGCTCCGCGGCCCGGTTGCAACAAGTTGCAGCGCGTGGCTCGAGCTGCACGCTCCTGGAACGTGCATTCATTGAATGCAGTCGGCACGTACGCGGCCGGCATAACGAAGTGCAATCGACTGCGAGACCCGCCTCCCTATCGAACGCAGGTGTAATAAAATTAAAATGTCTGCTTGCGGCTTCCGTGTTCGAGGGATGCAGAAACTTTGATCGACGGAAAACTTTTTTCCCCGACCAGATCGTCGACTTAGTAAGATTTATGGACTACGGACGCGCACTTTTATTGAAACCCGTCCCCGTTGACGATCGCATTAAAATTTTTCGACAGTTCCAACGGAAAGAATACCTTCTCTCGTAGATGTAACCGATTTTATTTATCACAACGTACGCACTAAGTAAATATAATTTTATAGTTTGTTATCTTGGTCTATCGGGACTTTCTGTGTTCGTAGTTAAATAGCCATCGGAGCTGTAGTGAACATTCTACGCGCATCGAAATTCATTTATAATCATTCTGAAGTTAGTAAAATAATTATAGCTACTTACTCTGATCGGTAGACGCTGCATCGGGAAACTTTGAAAAGTCGCTGAAACGGATTTGGTGAATTTTCTTTTTCTGTGGAAGAGAGGATATTTTTCAATTCAACGACACAGTTCAATTTGTCATTTATCAATTACCTCTCTTTGAAAGTCTCTCTTTCTGATATATAATTAATCAATGTTGGTTCATGGTATACTTACTGATAACTTCTGCTAATATTACTAACGTCGACCGTATCTTTGCTACTGTAACTGATAGCGGCCAAGCATCGTTCTTCGTCGTAACCATCCTGACAGTTTGCACGACATCTACCGAATTTGCTTCTCCAATAGTCCTTCCATTTCTCCAACAATCCTTTGCGTGGCGCTTGCGAGGGGCATGTGTCTTGCTGACAATACTCCTTATTCTTATATAAATCCACGACGCTGAAACAAAAAGAGTATATATTAGTAAAATGTCTACCTTAACCTCTTCGCGCCCTTGGCCACATATGTGGACGTTTAGTTTTTTTTTTTATAATTATAGTCACTATCAATAATAAATAGACTCCCCTCCTCCAAAAAAAAAAATTGTCCCTGAAGAGGTTAACTTGGATATACCTTGCTATGTAGCTTAGGATCTGAGATCTTAGAGAAGTGATAGTCAAAGCGAGACCTTGTCAATAATTTAGGACTAAAAATTGGTAGTAATTTGAATCTGGAAGTACTGTCAATCGAGGACTTAAAATATAGTTGAACTGGCGATTCGAGGCCCGGTGCATCGCTATGGCTACCGATGTGCGTCTCGCCCAAGGCACGTTCCCGGCCGTTAAAGAGTTAATTGAGCCTAATTAACGAGAGCCTCGCGAAAACTAGCGCGAAGATAACTCGGGTAAACGTACGGCGGATGCTGTGGCTCGCAGGGACCGCACTCGTCCGAGTGTTTCAAGAGGAATCTGTAGCAAACCAAGCTCAGGCCAACCAGCAACCACACCAGCAACGCGCTCACCACGGCAATCGATATCAATTCCGTCGTTCCTAGCGTGACCCTCGCGTCCTCGTCTGAATGAGAGAAAAAAAAAAGAACGTTAGAAAGCAAACCGTTTGATTCGAACGAGAAGCACCGCTTTCACCTTCGCCTTTGTAAAGCGGCGGCACGGGCTCCTCGGGCTCGACGGTCGGTGGCTCGCCTATTTTGGGCATCATCTGATAGGTACCGCTTTTTCTCCACGCCGTAAGACCGGTTCCCGCACCTGAAACGGAAAAACGATGTTGCAGAAAGCTAGGAAAATTATAAATGGCGACCGAGTGTCCAGAGGTACCCGATTCCTCCAGCGTGGAGATCACCCTCAGAACACCACCGAACGCTGGGTACCATTTTTCCTCGTCCAAGTGTCGTCGTACCTGCGAAGATTGAAGCAACGATGCTTTAATTTCTTCGAGAAACCGAATAACGTGCTAAAAATTGCCACTCCCGATCACAAGCGACTCACAACGTACGGATTGCTGCAGCCAATCGAAAAGCTCCTGGTTGAACGTTCTCAGCTCTGTTTTCGTTTTCGATTTCGAAACGATGCATTTCACGCTGGCCACGTAATATTTCACCAGCACGAAAGCCGACTGTTCTACGTACAGGGACTGCAAGCTCCCCCTCTTGAATGGCAACGCGATACTACACAGAAACTATGTATTATTTTAAATAAAAGGAAATTTCACTGTTCGATGTATAAAAATCGTTTCAAAATTTGATACCTATTCGGCTCCACGTCGTCGTCCAAAAACGGAAGGGGTATAATAATCAGTTCTTCGTTCTTCGAAGGGTCGTCTTGAAAAGTTCGTGATTATTTCAAATTGAAGAATTTTTAAAAATTTACAAAAATATATGTCTCTTAATTTGATTTTATTACGACTGGCTCACCATGTTTTATATTTCTGGATGACTTGTGTTTCGAAGCCCTTCTCTTTTGTTTGGACTTGAAACGCTGAAGCTCTCGTTTGTTATAATCGGCTAAAGTTGGGGAATAAATAATAATGTCGTTATATCTTCGCGAAAGTATCGCCACTGAATTGTCGAGGTTTTCCCGGTGAAAATGAGTCCAAACACGACCTAATTCGGACTATCTTTATTTTTATGTAGTGTGAGGAGCAAGGAAAATGAGACCTGGATCAAGGGACAAGTGAAATGGTCCGAATAAGGTCATGTTTGGGCTCATTTTCATCGGGAGAACTTCGCCAATCTGTTAATGATACTTTCGTAAAGGTACAACGAAAATAAATGTGGTACCATGGGTAAGGAGAATGAAAATGGCGTCGAATAATTTTTGCTTAGTCGCAGGACGTACTAAGATCGACCGAACCGTCTGATCCAATAATGTTCCATGAAATGCAATATGTTCTTACATGCAGGGTAAGTAATAATGCCCTCGCACGCGACGGACGTTCTTGGCGGCGTAATCACGATCGGTGGAATCTTCGCGCGACCGATGCCCCTGGAAGGCTTCGACCAGCCTGCCCCGTTGCTTCGCAGGAAGAGCTTCAGCTCGTCGTACAGCTCGAAGAGCTTCCTCGCGTTTCGATATTTTATGTTCCCGGCGTAATAGGAGTGCCTCGTGAGAGGCAGGATGTAAACTTGCAAGTAGCCTCCCATAGTATCTGCTAGGGCTTTCAGCATCAGGTGCTTCGTTTTTCCTATCGACAGCTTGCGCACGCTCTCCAAACAAATGTGAAAGTAATCCATCAACATGGCGATGTACCGATCGTTCTCGTAATTTAGAACTTTCACCTGTGGGATCGCCATCAACGGGGTGCGTATTAACAGAAATTTTATGGACGTGTTGACAAACGTAACATTCACTTTTATAATAAGTTCCAACAAACAGATTATTAATTAGTACTAGATAACTATATATCGCAGCATTTTAATACACTCAAAAATATTAGCTTCACGTATCAATATGTAGTTATACATATTCAATTAATACTAATTTGTTTTTCGAAAAATGGTAAATTATTGGAAGATCGTTATTGCCATCTATGGCGAAGTTTCCAAGTTGATCGTGAAATAGTTTCGGTTTTTACTGACAAATGGTGCCACAAATTTCTAATTACTGACACGACAGATAAATATTTTACTTTCGTCGAGTATGTCTAACATGTCTGACCATTATTCGTTACTTCTACTTGTGTTAGATATTCGTAAAGGTAGGACAGAAAAATTGTACTTTCTTCAACATCGATAACTGGTAAAACAATCATTGCACTTTTCATCAGTCGGTAAAGTCGATAAAGTCGATAAAGCAACAGCAATGATTTTTCACTGACGAGGTATACTCGTATAATAATAAATGCATTAATAAAATCTTCCAATCAGGAGTCACGATTGTTTAAACATACGAAATTTCGAGGAAACTTTTCTGGCCATACATTATATTTTCGGTAAAGAATTTTCTTCTCGAAAATGCGTAGAAATTCGGAGGTATGTCTATTCACCAAAAATGATTGTAATCGACCCCCACTACCAAAAATAATTTTTTAATTTTACCAAGAGAATTCTAATTGCAGCGAATTTAGAATTGTCTAAAGTTTTGTGAGATCTAAGAATGTATAGAATGCGGTTACGAAATTAGTAGATTACTCTTACAAGGGAACATACTAAAGTGTGGAAAGGAATAAAAAAATGTAAGGTTAGGTTCAGAATACCTTTGGCAATAAATCTTGAAACATTCGTCTACTGTTTAACATAATAAATTCCTCCGTGGTCCAGCAATGCTTGACAGAGTCACTTTTCTCAAACAATACCGTGCCGATATTTTGTTCATGCTTGAAACCGGCACCCATCACCCTAATACCACATCACAACAATATAATTCGATAATAGTGTAATCTTTATTTCTTAATAAACTTGTTGACACGATTTTCATCGAGATCGAATAATTTTTGGTAAGTAAAATTAATATGGTGCTGGTCACATTTTCGATCGCGTACCTTTTTATGTTAACGAAGATAGCGGCTGCAAACAACAGAAGAAACCATGGGAGGCATGATCTCATACTCTATTCGGTAAATTCCAGATGAATGCGATTTTTCCTTGCGAAATTCCGGAAAATTTACACCGATCTCTTGATCGTTTCCCAGTCATTATCTCGCGTTTGTTATGCGACTGAGTTCAGATTAATAAACCGTCATAAATAATTACACTATAGTCCTGCAAACTTTTGACCGAAAAATCGTCACATTATTGCCTCGCGTTCTAATAAAGCAAGTCCTCGTGTGTTCACAAATATTTTGTACACGGATATACATTTGCATATTAAATGAAATTTCTGATTTTTTTTTCTACAAATTTCGAAACGTTCAGAAGACTTACTGTATTAAAAAGTTTTATCGGGAAAGGATCGAATTATGGTATTGTTTCTTTCAATCTCATTCGACATTAAGCAGAGAACAGCCCAACATTTTCTATAAAACGTTTTATCAGTTTCATGACTTTTCACAAATGATTGCTATCGCCTGTGTCTTTGAAGTAACTAGAAGAAAAACGAGTTAAATGATTTTTGCAATAAAATGGTGTATATGCATTTTACATAACGTGCATATTTCCCGAACATAACAAGGGTTACAACGTAGAAAGGTCGTGGTTAACATAACCTTGTCGTCGCGCGAACAATTCTCGACATCGTCGTTGAAGTTGTCGTCGCAGTTCTGGTTCTCGGCGCGGTGGACTGTCTTGGAATGAAAAATTACGTATTTGGCGCTTTCATTTTACACAAGAACCGCAAGTGCAACATCTTCACCTCGTCCTTGTTCATTTTCACGACACCTTCTTGATTATCTATGGAAAGTAATGTACCGACGGCTTCCCTGTCCTCGCCGATAATTACTTTAACCCGATCGCCCTGCGACGGAACCACCGGTTCCAGTTCCTCGCAGACCAAATTTACGACCCTATCCTCGACCGGTAGGAAGACTGCGCACATGCCACCCTGTCGACAAAATGTAAACATCGCGGCGTTCAAGCCTTTCGCAAGGTTTCGAACACATAACTGTGTGTTTCAAAAATATAACTGTTAGTCTGACCCAGCAAACTTTGATTAGATATAATTGCACGACTTTAGAATACTTATTAACCTTAATAGAGGATTAAACGTTTTGTAAAGAGGTTACTTGGTAAAGTGTTCTTACAATAATAATTTTCTTAATTTTTGATTCACTGAAAAGGAATTGTGAACAAGTTTTTGATGTATCACTTACGGATATTCCTCGAATGACGCCCTGTTGCCCGGCAAGTGCAGGATCCTGGTGGGAGTGACGAATTCGAACCTCGATGTCTGTGGTGTGCCACTCGGTCCCTCCTACTATCGCTGACCCGACGCTGGCGTCTAGACCAGCACCTGGTGTTTGTGGATTGTAAGGACTACCAGCCACGCCTGGAAGAAACAATTCCCCGGAGATGGTAGAACCAAATTTCGTTCAAGATGCGACTCAAAGAACGCAAGGAATAACACTTACCAGGCGTCATAGGACTATAACCCATCGGCGAAGGCGTAGCGAATGCTCCGTGAGGACTGGTAGTGTACCCAGTGCCGCTTGGCGAGGGGGTAGCAACGTAACCCGCAGGGCTGGGGCTCGCGGAAGCACTTCCAGCCGGGCTAGGACTCGGTTGATACGAGCTGAAACTCTGCTCCGAACCGTACATCGTGCCAGGTGTTTGTGGCGTGAATGGTCCACCAGTTGAGGGGTAACCTGGTGCGTAACCGGGAGATCCGCCTTCCTCCATGTTGTAGCCGTCGAAATCGTTCGTCCTTGCGGGGGTATTAGTGACCGCTGGATCCCAGGCACCTGACTGTCCTGGAGTACGTGACCCATCGTGGGATGGCGTCATCGAGCCATAATGAGGTGTACGGGAACCATCTATGAATTTAAGAAGTTAGAAATCAGTAGACCAGTTCCTCTGAACGTTTGCAGTAGAAAACAAGGATATCGAAGACACTCACTTTCGTACATGGGTGTCTGGGAACCATGCATAGGCGTCTTTGAACCGTCTCTGGCATACATCGGTGTTTGCCCACCCATGCCGTACGCTGGTGTCCTGTTGTAACTGCTGAAACCGCCATCCTTTGTCGGTACGCCCACGTTTGCGATGTGGGACCTGTCCACGGAGATGGTTTGGCACGTGGAGTGCAGTTCTACGCGAGCAGTCGTCTCCGTGGCGTCCTTCACGATACCAACGTTTCCTTTGTAAGGTCCACCAGTGATCTTTATGGTGGTACCTATCAGTTCTCTGTCGCGGCGAGCTCCTCCTCCGCGGCCCCTGCCTCTTCCACCTCCACCCCTTCCAAAACCGCCTCTGTGATCAAACGAAACTGATAAATATCGGCGTGTACGACAGGGCAACCGTGTACTGACCCGCTAGGATGCATCGGCGAGGCGATCCTTGGCGACATGAATCCTGCCACCGGCGACATGGCGGTTATGTTGGCCTTGTTTCCACCAGACAGTTGCAAGTGCCTCGTTTTGCAGACGAATATACCACCGTTGTCCACGAACATTCGCGAGTGCAGAAACGCGAAGCTTCTGTACAGATGTTTTATTTCACCACCCCTTCCAGCATGTGGCCCGTCCACGACTTTAACGATGTCCTTCTTCTGTATGGTGTTCTGTTGAGAATCTAACGCCACTGCATTTCTGTTCTCGCGTCGTTTCGTTAGACCTTGGGGTCTAGCCTCTATCACCTTCCCGTGCATGGAAAGCACGTGGAAATTCTCGCGTTCGAGACGAACGATCACGCCGACCGTTTGCGCGTCCAACTGAACCAAATCGCCCCACTGAAATTGACCTAAACTATCCACGCCGGTTGCCATATCCGAACAGAGCTGCAAGTCCCTCGGGAGGACTTCGAGCTCGTGCATCGACAGATCAGAAAACAAGACCACTCTGTTCTGCTCTACTCGGACTATCAGACCGGTATCGCTTTCGTATCGTCCTGCAACGACCTGCGAACAATCGATCGAGTCGATTTTATTCGATTTTCGACTTTTGTTCGTTGAAAAGACATTTGTTTACATTACCTTAACGTGATCGCCCATCGTGAAGTACTTCCGCAACTCTGACGCTTGGAATTCCAACGCCTCCTTGAGTTCTTCGTGTTTTGGCATAACCATTATCATGTTTCCATCTATCGAAACGATCTTCCCTTGCAAGTTTATCAATTCACCCTCGCAAACCTCGACGTTGTCCCCGGTACTGAACGAGTGAGTCACCGCCGCGTCTTCCCTGTTACTGGAAGTCCCCGTTGGACCTCCGCTTAAATCTATTTCAACGCCTTCCGGGGCCTCTTCGAATCTTTCTAATTCGGAAAGCGTCGGTTTCACGCCCTCCGCGATAATCGCGCTCGTCGTGAAATTTTTATACAGGAATCTGAATCAGAACGAACGATTCGAATAATTTAATTTCACAATAATTCGACGACTCACATACATACCCTTTTCTACTGTATCGATTTCCCTCGAAAATCAAGAAATCACCGTCGCTGGTCACTTCTCCGCCAATAGCGCGAATTGCTTCGGGGTCGAACGGTTTCGCCGGCGGTCTTCTTTTCTTTTTGCGTTTCAGGGCTTCGGATTCACTTTGCGCTGTTCTCAAAGCTCCGCGGGGTCTGGTGTAATCGATTCTAGGCAGCAGTTTCAAATGAACCTGATTCTGCGCCAAGTCAACGTAATCGACCTGAGCTATGTCATCTTTGTAAATGCCTCTCTTTAGTCTAACCCACTGCTTCGCCTTCAAGCCTGTCTGCTCTTTAACCACGCGTAACACATCGGTCATTTCCTTGATCGGTACCATTTGTTGCTTCCAAATACCCATTCTCAAGTTTCCTACGTTTTCGATGGCAGCCTTCACGTGCGGCTGTTTGTACGCTTCTATGTAAATGTAACCCTTTACACCCTCAGGAGCAACGACGCTCTTTATCTGCAGAGGTTCGTCTGAGAAACAAAATCACGCGATTAGAAACGATTACGATTATTTAACCAAAGGAGCAATAAAAAGATTGCTGCATACTTGAAAATTGATAAGTTATGAATTTCCGCATCAACAAAAGTACAGTGGCTTTCTCCTCCCCAATACGGCATTTCACCATCCAAAGATTTGGATCCTTAACACCTGGCAACAATGTTTGCTGAGTAATTTCGTCGCTCATTTCCTCCCCACCATCCCCAAAATGACGAGCGGCCACAGACTCGTCTGCATACTTTTTTCTCAAATACTCTTCTATTTCATCCTCTTTTTGCGAACTGATAAAAATTATAAACGTTAGTTCAGGAACAAACTATCTTAGAATAGTTTAAGATTCAGATATTTACTCCCAAAGATTGGTGCCTCTGCGTCTTCCTTCAATTTCTCTTGCAGTGGGTCCCAATTCATCTACTTCGTTCCCCACGATACCAATCTCTTGAGCACCCTCTTCCCATTCGTCGTCATCCTCAACTTCATCGTCTACTTCAGCTTCATCTATGATGAAACCACCATACTTGTCTTTTTTCTTCTTCTTCCTGGGCCTGTCGTCATCTTCTTCCTCCTCTTCCTCATCATATTCGCTGCTTCCATCCAAGTCTTCGCCCTCTGGTTCTTCTTCAGGCTCCACCAGCTCCTCATCCCCTGACCTGGCTTCTTCCGCCTCGTCTCCTCTACCATCCTCAGAACTTGAGGTTCAATAAATGTTATTTCTAACTTCTATACACTTTTACACCATACATATTTTGTTTCTTTGCATACTGCATACATTCTTATACATAGATATACACATAATATCATACGAAGTCATTGTTTAGTTTCTTTAAACTTACCTTTTTAAGAGATGTACACAAATAACATTGATCCTACATTAATATTATGGTACCTCACAAAAATATAATTCACAAATGTCTAAGAAGTAATTGCATAGGTTTCAGAAAGATAAATACACCCGAGAAAGATAAAATTTCAAGATTCTCAAATGCTAAAATGCCAACGAGTATCAACAACCATACAACACACGTTACGAAACTGTGCTCGATAATTTATATAATGTTTCAAGAATAAATTTTACTCACCCAGACACCGATCGTGATCGTGATCGCGATCTCGACGCACTCCTGGATCGCGATCTGGACGGGCTTCTGCTCCGAGAAACACTGCGTGATCTTTCCCCGACGCTGCCAGCATCGCTGCCAGCTGCAGATTTTACGGAGCGGTTTTCTTCTTGATCGCTTTCGCTACCTCCGCCACCGCGGTCGCTTTCGTTGTCGGACAGATTGCTCGCCTCTGAATCCGACATTTTAATCCCGAAAATTAAACGGATCCCGTCGAACAGAAATTATTGTGCACGAATCGTAACAGCTTGGTTAGGCCAACAAGGCGCACGAAGCACGGAATAACCGATGCAAAAATGCATAAGGTTATGTGGCGATGTTTCGTGAAATCGTCGCCAGAGGGCTGCAAATGGATTCTGATTCTCACTGTATATTGTACATTGAAACTATATGACAAAAAAAAAGTGTATATCATTCGATGATAGGAAAATGTTATTGTTGACTAATATTATGATAATAATAGAGATTAGAAACAATAATTAAATAATGATGTTTTTGACATAAGAATGTTTAAACAAAAATTAAAGATTTCCTTCTTTATTTAGCAACACGTTTTCGTCACCTTGACAATAAATAAACACGAATTATTATTGATCTGTCGCTTTCAACGTCCTAAAACGACTTTATTGTGAACTTATCGTTCTAAAACATGTCCGACCTGGCGAAAAATTTATTAACGCAATATTATGGATTCGGTTCGGAAACGACAGGCAAGAAATTTCTATCTATACACAAATCTGTCGAAGATGCAAAGAACGAAGAAGAGAAACAGGTCTCCGAGCAAATTTCTTTAACCACGAACGAAGAAAATGTGTCTGAAGATGAATCTCAAGTAATAACGATTGTTATTTATGACTTTTACAAGCTTCTGTACTTGTCATTGCACGATTGATAAAATGTAATTTGTTCACTTACCTATTGCACCCTTTGGTTTCTGTAAATTAATAATCGTTAACCGAATTGCAAAAACTGAATTAATGAAAATAATTCATGCTCGTAGGACGACATTGCCCGAAAATTTAGTACAACGAGTGAATCGTATCGAAGGCCATCGCGGGTTTTTAATAATATAGAAGACGCATACGACTCTGATGAAAATTCGGACACGTTTGAAATTGATCTCGGACAAAATATTCTATGCAACGTTTCCGAAAACACGCTACGTTCTGCGCCACACGAATTATCAAGTACAATTCCAGCTACGGAAACCAGAGGAAACGACTCGAAGGACGCGACCGGAAGCGACTCGAGTTTAACATTCGTCGAAGACATTTCCCGGGACAATGCTTCGGACGTTTCTGGCGCGACGCTTAAAAAATCGCAGAAATCTTCGAAAACCAGTACACCTCTACCACCAATATCGAAGAAAAAACCTGTCTGCAACGAAATATTTGCAGATTTTTCCAACACTGGTTTGACACAATTTCCTAATGAAATATTGCACAGGTTTTCGCAATTAAGGGTACATGGCATTTTCAAGTAATTTTACAAAACTGATCCTGCGATTTGCACAATTTGTTTTTCTATTAACCACTATTGATCTGAAAATATTTTGTGATTTTAGATGTTGTATATGGCGGATAATAGTCTGACTATACTCCCCGATGAAGTTTTCAGATCTTTGAGATACTTACAGTGGTTAGACATCAGAAATAATCAACTTTTATCGCTACCGAATAGTATTGAATCGCATCCGTGTATAGAAACGCTTCTTCTTCAGGGGAATAAAATAGTGGAATTACCATTGGAACTTTGTAGGTTTTATTAAATCGAAGAGTACAATAAAGACATTTAATGCTGAATAGATATATTTAGAACTAAATAATTATTTGAATCGGCTGAAAAAAAAATTATTAAAAAATTGACGTTCAAAAATAGCAAACATTCTGTTTTCCTATGTTCCAGGCACTCTGTCGAACCTAAAAACTCTCCAAGTGACACAAAATCCTCTCACAGTGCCACCAAAAGATATAGTGGTTTTGGGGTTTAAAGAGATTTTGAAATTTTTGACAATCGAATGGAATAAAACATACCCTGAACGCCAAGTGGAAGTCAAGGAAAGTGAGTATTATTATTGGTGCTTAGAACGTTTGAAAACGCAGAATACAGTAAAATTTTTAATTTCTACTTCAGGCAAAATCGAGCCAAAACTTTCAACAATCCTCTGTTATCAGTCCCCCAGAAAGAGCAAGAAAAAAGTCACACCATACAAGAACACAGTTCGAAATAAAATTGTATCCACCAGAGAAAAACGCAAGTCTTACAAGCCCAGTAACAGGTACTATGATAAAAAATCCGCTTCTTCAACGAACATCAATTATATATTTAAAAGAAAATCAACAGATCTTTGCGACTCCTGCTTAAATAAAACGATTGATCCAGAAACGAGCGAAAGACAAAGCAATACGCGCGAGAACACAAAGTATGGTTGTTCGAGAACAGTAAACAGTAAAACTTGCGTTCGTACTGAAATTAATAACACGAATAATAAGATTTTACGATTAATGGATCCGTCCCCGAGATCCCTTTACGTGAGACAAAATGTAAAGATTCTGAAAACTTATGCTAAATCGTTAGAAAAAGAGTGTAGACTCAAGTTCTCCAGCGCTAAACTTGAACGTGTTCCCCCGAAAATAGAAACTAAATTTTTGGCAGAAAACAATGAAAAATATAACAGTACAGAAAATATCGACCAAATTTTTGATATTATCACTAACGATAGGAAGAGATTTAAGTTGCACGCGTTGAGATTAGAAAATCCAGATTGGATGTTGTCGTGTTTAGAAAATTATATAGGGATAGTGAAGTAGGTCTGTTATGTTTGTATACGTAGTCAAGAAATCTTTTATGTTTTGCGATTAATTCAGGTGTGAAAATAAGGGTGAAAATACTTCGATGGAACATCGCTTGTTATTAGCTTCAAAAATAAAAGAATTATTTAACACACAAGCATCGTTACTTCAAAAATTAAAGTAAGAGTTTCTATATTCTAAATATTAGATGCAAAGCACGATTATTTGAGCAGATTCGATTGTTTAGGGATCAAACTGTTCTGAAAGAGTGGAGGCGCGACAGAAGAAGTTTTAACATAGCTATGGAAAAAGCGATGAAACGAAACGAAGGTACAATATATCGAATTTCACTGTGTTTATCCTATTATTAAGTAAAATATTTATTCGATAGACGATATTCCTTTTGGTTTCGATCCGGAGGATTATGCTTCTATATTCAAACAAAAATCTAAATCTAAGAAATGCAGACAGAGATTCTTTCCACCCGAGTGAGTGAGGAATTTTTAAGTTTTGTGTAAAAAATTTATACAAAAAAAAAATGTAATTGAATCGTTCGTTTCTTGTAGAAATATTAACAAGAAAATTAGCGACATATTAGAATCCATGAATCGGCTAAAAATAGAAAATGGTGATGGAGCAACTCCTAGAACCAAACAAAACTTGCTGGAAAAAGAAATAGAGAAGGTGCTCGATACAATAATTTTAGTGAATATAAAAAACAGTCGTTACAGTAAGAAAGTACGTTTCACGAAACATATCGAGTTCATGCAATTTCCTTCAAATTTCAGATATTACAATGCCAAACTGAAATTCAGAATTTGCAAAAGTACAACGACGTTGCAACGGTACATCTGAAAAATTGAACAAAGTCTATCAGCTATTCCTGCGAAAATCATTGTTTGCGTTGCAGCACAGCCGCTCTATTCAATTTCGATCACGCCAAAAGTATCAGTCTTGACATATTTATTTAAATAAATCAGTAGTAATCACATATCGTTCCATAGTGTTAACTACACATACATCACTTACAAATACACGACGAGATAACTGGAAACATCACTGTGCACGCATCGTAAGATTCCAAGATGGATGGGGAACATAAATATTAAACAGTTTGTCACTTTACAAAAGAGATGTGCACAAAATCATTTGCATTAACCCTCTACAACCCAAATTATATTTCGTTTCTGATAAGACACTGATAACTGTATTTCTCAAACTTTTGCTTTAAAATAAAAATAACGAGACAACACGGGGTTATAAAGGGTTAACTGAATCCTTTGTGAAGATGTATCAACGTACTTTCCACCAGATAAACGTGGTTCTAAACAAATCTTAATAACAATTCATTGTGCACTCATCCTAGGAAAGTTTCTTTGACGATGAGACATACTATAGTCTTAATAGCTGTGAAAAAAGTTGTAAAAACTTGTTGGATACAAATTTTATTCGAACGTTGGGTCCAATTCCGTAGTTCTCCTTTCCTATAGTAATACAAAAGAGAAACAGTTATACGTGTGTTCCTAAAAAACTAAGGAGAAAATCCAATTTTTCTAGATGATTTCTTCGTTTTATTAAATGGTACTGGAAACAGAAATTTCTTTTTCAAACACTTGGTTACACTCGCGAAGACTTATAGTGTGCCCCATTTGTGAAAGAATATTAATAAGTCTGCAAAAAGGACGGAAATTATAAAGAATGCTTTCCAGTATTCCCGTCAGGACAGCTTCCCTCTGTTCGATCGTCGTAAAAGCGCGGTTTAAGAGTATAAAAATCCTATAAAGTGGTAATCCGAATTAAAATCGATCCGAGTTACGCGAATGGTTTTCGCGACGATCGAACGCCCCGCGATTTTCTCGTTCATGGCACTACATCGAACCCTAGCACGATTCTGTTTCGAGCAGAATGAAAAGATCACGCCACAGTCCGCAATACATCTGTCTGTTATAATAGTACTGATAATAGTTATAAGGCAAATATCTATGATCTCCATTTTTATTTCATTTCTTCTGTTGCATGAGTGCGTGTGAGCGTCTTCTCCAACTGATTTCTGTACATTTGATACACTGTCGCATAAAAGATAGTACGGGCAACTAATTCGTTAGTATTTAATCAGCAACGTAGCGATCTAATTGTTATAAACTCGTTACTAATTTATAATTACCGTTCTCTCCAGAACGTGGACAATTTTGCATGCTTTTCACCCGTGACTCGGTTACCGACGATTGTGACAAACAATTATTATCATTAAAATAAACGATCTCATAAAAAAAAAAAGAACTCATCTTATTCAGATTACGATTAATTAACTGTTCCGATACATTTGGACGCTAATGAAATAATGAATATCTTCTAAACAATTCTACATATCGTATCTTGTGGTGGTATATACACAGAAATGTCTATGTATTGCAAGCGTGGAGCCAATCTGCGCGATTAGGAGCAATAATATTAAAGGCGATACATTGAACGTAAAAAGGCCTCGTGGGTAGGCGTACCGAGGACAAAGTATGTACACCTCGTAGTGAAAATTTTACTACGAAGCGATAAGATACCTGTGGGATCAGGTAATGCTTTCTCGGGAACACGGATAAAAAAAAAAAATTAAAACAAAAAACACCTTCGTCGCAATTCTTGTGGCGTCAGTGTCACGATAAGAAAATATCTTTCAACCGGTTAAAAAAGCTTCGACAATTTATCGTCTGAACACGCATACTGGCATTACTTTTTATCCACCATACATCATTCAACACGTTATATACATTTTCTTTTCAAGAAAACTTCCTATTAATACACAAGCATACCGGGTATACGGAAGTTCCATAGCGTTGTAACACACAAATGCAAATTTATAAAATAAACAGATTCCTCTTTTTTTTCTCCATTCTGTGACGATTCGCTCCGTTGATGCTCATTATTGCACATTTTACACTTTCACGTTCTTTCTCTCTACTCGGGGGACGCGGACGTCGCCGCCATTTAATTTATATATACATTGCATGTACGCGTATATCGTTAAAACACAGTTGGGTGATTTTATAATTTAAGAAGGCAGACATTCTGGGTTACGGATCTCGGAAAGCAATTACGAATCATCGAGGATCGTATGACGTGAAATCTGCCTATGTTATCTCTCGTATTCCCATAGAAAGGTATCGATTTCTTCGACCAAATAATCTCCCGTCCATTGTACAAAAAACACATAATGGACAGAAATACTCTTAGATTATTTTAGAAATAAATAATTTCTATGCGCTTCTAAGTCACAGAGAAGCCTTCTTCGACGACGGGCCGAGCAAGTATACTTTATTCACAAATAACACTGGTGTACTCACTCTTTGTTAGAAGCTTCTACACATTGTTTTGATACCTGGATGCTCCTCGTGCGCCGGGTTCAAATCGACGAAGCCTAATTTACTGTAAAACTCGTGCGATTCCTTCTCCGTGCACGACATCGTGGTGTGTACACCGAAGGAACCTGAAACCATCGTCAGAGAAAAGGATTCTCAATTATAATTCTGCTTCTCGCGACGCCATTTCAGTTTTCATTCGAGAATTATTCACCGTTTGCTCTCAGAGCGGCGAGAATACAGGTGATTAGTCTTTTAGGGACCGACTGGTCCGTCACGCTTGGTAATACTGCGCAGAAAAGTTTCGACGGATGCTGCCTACACAATTGTTCGGACACGTTTGGGTTAAACGAATGGAAATACCGTATCGCGTCCTAAAATCAAAGTACAGAAGTTGATAATAAATGAACAGTCGATTCTTTATCCTGTTTTTCTTTTCTTGGCCTTTTCAATAGCAGAGAATTACTTAAATCTGATACCTGAACATTCTGTGGCAAATCATTTATGTTGTCGTCTAACGGGTACTTCATACACAATTCAGGAATTACGGAAACAGCCATTTTTTGTTTGAAAGTCTTTACATTCAAGGCTGCCAACGCGTAACCGACTATACCGGTTTCGTCTTCGACGACCATACACATTTCTGGACTCAGTGTTAAGAAACCGCCGAGGAATCTGCATTAAAAATGAAATGTATCAAAAACGTTTGGAGAATTCTATTTTTATAAAATAGAAAATTATCAGTATCGTTATGAATGCAACGCGTATATTTTAAATTTATTGCACTTTTATACCTATCCACTACTGCAGACGGCATCGTACAGCCACAGATTTTATTGCACACAGAGTAAACCGCTTCTTCGTCGCTTGCTATGTAGGGTCTAATCGTATAGATTTTACTACTGGGCACTTCCGGTGCTTTGTAAACGAACAAATCATTACCGCTGTCTACAGGTATTAATCTCTGTAAAAAAGTAAAAAATTTGTATCGTCGTGCCTGTTGAAACGATTAAATACAATAAACGCACCTGTAAATCAGCTGTTAGTCCTCCGCGGAATACCCATGGCTCTTGATCCCCACTCATGAACGTTTCTTTCCAACCATTCGAGAACCCTATCCCGGGACACAGTATTTGGGCTTAATAAACGGTGAAATACAGGGCTTATGTGCGCGCGATAATGCGGTTTATGAAATTAATGAAATGGTCTCCACTGTTCTGAGCACTAATTTTGCTTAAATTTTTAACATGCATAAAGTACAGTTCGATCGATGGCGCTCAATGTTTCTTTACTTCGCCTCGCTCTAAATACATTACTGTACGAGATCGATATAATCGTACTGCGAAATAAAGAAATCCATCCGTATCGAATAACTACGGTGCATCATTTTATCGACTAAGTGAAATTACATTTAACACACACACACATGTTCGAAACGAATCGACTGTATATCGAGCAATTTTTAAATAAAAGAAACACCGCGAGAAACGATCGATTACTGATTTCCAGCGTTCAACGATTAATTATTGATTATCGAGGCGAACACAACGAAAATTTACTAACGAATGTTGCACCAAAGTTCGCGCAGTGATAAATTTTCGGTTATGGGAGGGAAAATGGGATTGGTGAGAGGGTAATCCAGTTTGCCAAAATGCGCCTGAAATAAAACTCCTACTACTCCTGAAAAGAACATTGTTTCTGGAACTAAAAGAAATTAGTACAGGCAAGTTGGCAAAAGGAGGATGTTTCACTGGTCGTTCACAAGTCATGAAAGATGCTTTCTCGAAAACAAAAACACGATTTCGCAGAACCGTTACGCGTTATTGGAAATAATAAAATACATTCGTGGACTCTGAAAAATAACTTTTTTTTTCAAAAAAAAAAAAAAAAAAAAAAGCGTACAACGTACAACTTTTGTTGGATTGTGTCTGACCAGTACAATATTCAGGAGAAACTCTCAGCAGTTCATAATATTGTGTCCTAGCTTTGCCAATTTTGTAAATGCTGTAGATGGAGCTACTTTGTATGCAAAAATTATACGTGGACAGTTTTATGTCAATTGATAAATAGAGATGAATGTTATAGAGTAAAATTTTAAGTAAAAATATATATACACAAATTGTTCTGTATGTACAAAATTTGTGTGTATATGTTATCGTAATTTTTGCAAAATAAGAAAGTATTTCCATCCGGTTGCAAACTATATTATGTGTAAAAGGTATTTGTGTTGAATTTGTGTCGAGTACACATAGATCCTTCAAGGCATCAGAACGCTGCTTCTACGCGCAAATCTCTTGCTTGTTATTAATTATAATATTTTTTTTTACAAAGCTTCAAACGCAAACTGATAGTATGCGACTGTCTTCGCTGGTTTGAAGCTTTGTGAATCGCGCGCTGTTTTTTTTTTTTTGTTGGATTACTCAGACTGGTGAATTGCATACATGTGTAGCTGCCCTGGGTAAACGTTGTCATCGTCGACGGGAATCTGCCAAACGCTATCAACAAGACAGAAAACACAGAAATGGACGTTAGTCAATGAATTGAAGGGGTGTACTGTTCCTCATACACTCATACTGCTGGCAAAAACTATTCGCTGCAAGAATTATTTTCCTCTACACGTGTGACATTCTTTATCCAACGTTACAGCACGTGAAATCACTGTTATATAATTCCAATGCAACGAATACATTTCTGCCAAACAATCTGCGAAAGAAAGTCAACCAATATGTTAATAGCTGGCACAAGGTTATCTAAAACACAGTATTTGTTCGGGTCCACATTGATGCTGTTAAATAGTTTCCCAAGAAAGTCTTTGCTACGGAAAATTGTTTCGCCGAATACGGTAGTTCCTCGCTTCAAGACAAAAGATCGGGTCCGACAGCCGCCTTGAATCGAGGGTGGGAATAGAATTCTATTTCGAGGCGTAGCTCATCATTTTTAATATTTTTCATTATATCTTTATGAGAATATTATTAATGAATTGCAAAGATTTTGTCGATGACAATTCAAACACAACTTTGTTCAGAGATGCCTGCATTTACACGAGTCATGTTTGGACTCATTTTCATCAGAAAAACCTCATCGATCTACCATACGAAGATGTAACGAAGAATATAAAAATTTTTCGTCAAAGCAGTTTTATCATTTAAAAAAGAAAAAGAAAATGGCGGAGGGTGATTCCGTGCTTTACTGCCGGGGGAAAAAATTCAATCTTGAAGCGAAGAACTACTGTATCGCGCCAGAAAGCCACATCAATTCTCCTTATTCTTGTAATGCGCATATATTTACAATTTTTTTAGAATCAAGTTTGCTATTAAAAGGTACAAAGAAAAGGACGAGAAGTGCTGTGACTCGCTTCATTTGCCAACAGAATCATAAATAGGAAGCCGTCAGTCGACAAACAAGAAAATCATTTCATAAAAAGGTTTGTATGCAGTCGAACATAAAAAGCCTAATTATTGGTTTTTTTCGGTGTTGAATGAGTTATTTTCTGTTTCAGTTTTGTATAAGGGATCATGTATTTTGCAATTGTACAATAGTATCTGCCGGAAATACGAATGTACCAAGAAAATTCAAACAGCAAGTACATCTCATGGTATTAACTCATTCTGATTTTGACTTACGGCAACCCGTGTTCGTTCGTATCGCGCGCCACGCGGTACATTTGATTCTAAAGCGCAGAAACAAATGTACAAATGCGATTCCACAGATATGCGATCTATGAAATATTTCAGCTCCAACTATTACTGATCATTGTTCACTTCTTAAGTGTTTTTAAGCACTAAAATTTCTACGACCAACGAAAATAACAGAAATCATTCGATCTTTTAACTGATTTTCCTTTTTTTAAAAGTGTAACTTGATTGTTGTGCTGTATTATAATTTAGTGTGCTAATTTATGTTTCAGAAACGATGTTTCTTACTTAATCCTCATTCGGAGAAACAAAATAATATTCAAATTTTCTAATAATTGCATTCGTAAAGAGTATCTATAGTGAACAACACATTAAATTCATGTATAAATAAGTTAACAAGTTATCAGTAATTTTCGGAATTAGTAGTTTATGTTTTTTGCGTGTTTTATGATTGTATGAATGATATCATTTTACATGGAAGTGCAGAGCGATATCTGTGCACGTTATTAAAAAATGTTGAACATTTTCCGATATTGGATACAAAACCATGTATTCAATACAGAATAAATACAAATTCTATAAAAGTATTTTCAATTTTTGGACATAAATTTATATTAGATATAAGAATATCTTCGTCGATAAGATATATACATTTTACATAAAAACACAGCTTCCTTGTAAAATGACTAAATGAGTGAATTAAAAAAAAGAATAGAACATTACACTTACCAATACTCGAGACACTTTTGTTCTGAAATATAAGTATAGGTAGTAAATTATAGTACTTTTGAGAAAAATTAATAACAGCACTCATCTGTAGCACAACAAATACAACTCTCTACTAGTCCAGATAATGAAAAAAATTAAATAAAAAAAAAAATTAAAAATTGTTAGCATTTCGAAAACCGATATGAATAATTTTTGTTTTATCGATCATTGTACCAGCATACTAGCATCTTGAGTGAACTTTCTTTGTATACTTTACTATTACTGTTTTTACGTGGTTCATAATTACACGAACAAATGATGTAAGGGATTATGTGATATTAAAGATGGCATCACAATTACAATTCTACGTCTGAAGTTTTCGAACTATTTTCTACATGGATCGAAGCACCTTAATGTTTCTTTTTAAAGATACGTATTAAAATATAGCAAGATACTGTTAAATGTGTTTAGTTCATTATATAAGTAACAATGCAACTTACCCAACCATTTCACGTAACTGTTCAAGAGAGATACAACCCCTCTCATATCCCACACATACGAATACAGATCATATAGCAACTCACGATTATTACAATATGTAAGCCGTTGAAATAATCTATTTACAGCATTGCACATGTCGTTTAATTTAGCCGCGCGCGCGTGCCATTCTTCGATCTGAAATTTCCATAGGAAAAATTTCGATATCGACGCCTTCAGAATGGATATTTACATCTCGAGTCGCGTTTCCATTTACGCGCACACTTTACTTTAAATATAAAATAAGGGCAGTACTTACATTGGATTGCGACACAGCCTCGTCCTCTTTCACTTTTCTCATGACAACGTGAGCGTTGCTTTTCAACCAATTAAATTCTTGTAGCAATTGAATACCTTGACCACCGTGTTCGAACGGCAGATAAAAGAGATCGCACAGTAACGATAAATCCTCTTGCCTCAATCGTTTGTCAGCGTCGATGGAATCCGGAGACTCCTGATCAGCGTGATCGGTCGCGTCATGATTCTCACTGTCGTTCTCAACGATCATTTGAGTACCATTTACTACGGGAGAAGTACTGTCTACTTCTACTTGCATGCTGCCGGAAGCTTCACTGCACGTCTGTAAAACAAAATCACAACATTATATATAAATATAATTATTATTACTATTGATATCCGAGACTTACCGAAGTATTTTCTATCATAACATAGTCTTCCGTGTGAATCTTGGCCGCGTGCGCCGGAGAATTGTTAGGCGTTGTGTTGCAATCCATCGGTTCTATGGACGACAAAGTGTTCGAAGCTGTGACGTGTTCGACGCTGGTCGAAATCGTTGGAATAATGGGCTCGCTAATAACGGCTGTGTCGGATACTAAAGAATTCATAACTGGACCAGAAGGTGGCACAAAATTGTCACTGGACGTCACGTTCGAACAAACTTCAGCCAACGCTTGAAGGTGAGTGGATGTTGTTATTGGCGCTGGCGTCGAGGAAACAGTAGTCGTCGTTGTCGACGTGAGACTCATACATGTATTCACGGAAGGAATTATGGGAATTGGGATTGTCGGAGCGACACATGGTTGTGGTTTTGCTATGACGCCCCATACGGCTTTCTTTTTGTTAAATTCTTGTAACCAATCGTTAATGGCATTTTTTAGAGCGTGTCGAGGATGATACATATTCGGAGACATCGTGGAAGGGACATCTTCGCCGATCAAGCCGTCCTCCGTTTCAGTTTCTAGCCTTATGTCGGCAGAATCGTCTGGAAAGTGCGTAATAAACAATAAGCTAATTCGATCTTAACATATTACAATATCAGACGGGATTAAATACTTACTCAAGGTTAGATCTCTCTTTCCATCGATGTTACATTTGCTCCACTGTGCCAATGTATGAATTGCTACGAAATTTGCTCCATATTCACAGTTAGGGTTCGTCAGAACGCCTCTCAATTTGGGAATCAAATCGGGAGATCGGCCGGAATATGGCCCTAAGAATACCCTTTTTTGATCATAATCATTGGCGTGTAAATTGTCCCATATAACCGGTGGCCTCCTCAAAACCTCGGTAATTTCCTCGATGGATTCAACGGTCAAAAGTCTTGATATTACTTTAGGACCGGTCCACATTATATCAATTTCCTGAGCCAATTTGCTTCCAAGTGTATTGAGATATTCTGAGGATGCTACATTTGGCATTGCACGCGTAGCACAATATTGTGTCGGGCACAAAAGGAATGTAGGTTGACCAAGGTGTTGAAATATATCGTTTGTAACAGAAACCTGTTAACCAAATGTTGCAATTAATTATCAAAAAAAATATTCCACGGCTGACACACGGACCAAAATATTTGATACATACTTGTGCATGAGCAAACGACTGAAACACTTCTTTGTCCGCTTCGCTCATCTCTGGCTCTATATCGTCGAACAACAATGCGAAGGCAGTACAACCAAACTGGCTAACTTGCTCCAATTTTCTTTTTAATATGGTAACTTCTTTTGTGCTCGAGTAAGTGATATCCAAGCCTGGCGACAGAGCATAATAAAACGTAATACCGCATTCTCTAGCAGCTGTTATCAGCCCCGTTAAATGTTCTGCTTCCTCCACTGTGTACAAATCTCTCCAATACGCGCGATGTTTATAATCATCTTTTGGCGCGTACAAATAGGAGTCCATTCCCCATTTTTTCAGTCTGAAAACCATTTAATAAAACATCTCGATACGATCGAATCAAGATTTCGACACGGCACGCGTACGCGCTCAAAATTATGGTGATATACTTACTTTTGAAACAGGTCCTTCCTTTGTTCGGTGGTCCAAGGCCGGCCGTAAAAACCTGCAATAGCAAAATTTATTTTTTATGGGAACAACACGAGCTATTGTAACTAACATCGCGTTCCATTCGTTCCCCCTCCTACGCGTAGCCGTCGCGAACGATGACCATATACGTATGTTTCGTGTCGTTCGATCTTCTGTTTACGCACCTTCGACGACGCCACAGATGAAATTCCCGTTTTTCATATTTAAATTCGCGGCTCCATTTGTCTCCGCCATTGCGGGCCACAGGAGACACGTTTGTTTAGTATCGGACCACGAAAATGGCTAGAAGAGTTGTCGGCTGCAAAATGCTGTCGTTTCCCCGAGATACGCAGGATACCAGAATCAACGTTGCCTTCCTCGCGGCACAACTCTTTCGAGCAAATGTCACGACAGCATTACTCGTGTTCTCAATCGAGGAGAGAATTCACTCAGAACTGTACGATATCGAAGGAACAAAAATACCGTTTCCTGTATTTGACACAGACTGCAGTACTACACCCACCATCACCCGCTGCCCTGGTCGATACTGAACGATGTCTCGAGTCTCGATCCCATCGACTGCACACAAAGCGATTAACGGAAAGATCCGTTGGATCGTGGCGCCATCTACGTTTCGAATCGAGGTTACGGTTTCAAACGCGAGCTCCTCGTCGTCAGGATCGCGCGGGAAAGTAGTTTTAACAAATTGTCGATTTCGTCGAATGTACGAGCACGTTTTAGGTCGAAAGCAAGTAGCTACAATAGGACGTGTTATTCCTTTCGGACAATCTGTTTGGACCAGTAAATAAATTGTTGGTGGAGAGTGAAAAGGAAAGTTAGAAATGTTTTGACAAGATATTTTCTTCTTGGTGTCTTCGTCACTCCCACGATGTTTTCCTGAAACAAAAACTCATATCCAATAAAATATATAACTCATATAAAACAAATAAATATGAAAAAATATTTCTTCTTGGTGTCTTGATTGATCCCACGATGTTTCCCTGAAACATAAATCAGACAATAAATAAAATTGTACAAAGAAACTAACTACATCAAGCTACTTCAAACTACAATAGAGTGGCACGTATGGGGATGAAGTTAGACGTTTTAAATATCGCAACACTACGGGGCAACAACGCGATAAATCAACAATCGCAACGCTAATTTATAATAGAAAAAATTCCAAACGCGACTTGTAAGAATAAAACCAACCGCGAATGGTAATTATTCGCAACACTACCCTGAAAAGCAAACGCGAAAAATAGTAATTCGCAACTCTAATTCGCAATCGCGTTTACTAAAAATTCGCAACGCTATTTTTAAAGCAAACGCCCGGTTCCTAGGTTTGCATAAAGACAATCACGAATCGTATTTATTCGCAGCACTGATATATCAACGCGATAAATATTTGTTCGCAACTCTACGAGCAAACGCGAACATTGTATATTATTCGCAACTCTAACTTTAATCAGGGGCTATTGGTACATGTACATAGACATGTACTGGCCACAAAATAAACTAACTACTACTAGTACTACAATTGGGGTAGAATTTGGGCATTGAAAATATCGCAACGCTAAATAAAAAATCGCACGATTAATCAAGATCGCAACGCTAATTTATAACGTGAAAATTACAAACGCGGTTGACATTCATTATTATATATATATAAAAGAGTAAAAAAGCAACGCGAATCGTGATTGTTCGCAACACTACCCTGAAAAGCAAACGCGAAAAATAGTATTTCGCAACTCTACGAGCAATCACGTTTATCGATAATTCGCAACGCTATTTTTAAGCAAACATTCGGTACCTAAGTTTGCAAAAAACCAATCGCGAATCGTGACAAGGCGCAACGCTACCCTGAAAAGGAAACGCGAAAAACAGTGATTCGCAACTCTACAAGCAAACGCGATTATTGGATATTCGCAACTCTATGTATATCATAACCGCGAGTTATGGGGACGGATGGCTGGCATGTATGGTGCAATCATGTACCATCAGGTACATGCATACGTGAGCGAGTCAGAAAAATAAACTAACTACAACTACAGACGAGTTAAGTGACAAAGTAGTAACAGGAATGACTTTCCATTCTCATCCGAGGATGAAGATGAAAAGCCATTTGTTGCAGCCCACTCTTGAGACAGTTTGTCAGGGCCTCTTCGGCTCATCGAGAGCCTTTTCTTTCTTCGGCGGTCCTGCCGATGCCTGAAACTTACGAAAGACCGGGCTCGAGATTTCGTGCAATACGTAGTCTTCCAACAATATACGAATTGTTGGAAGAGCATACGTGGTCATCTCGAGCGGGACGAACGTTTCGAAAGGGACCTGATCCCGACCGCGAGCGCGAGAGAGCGACTTTAAGAGTCGCGCGATTCGAGGAGTCGAAAATAAAGCCGAAACAAACAGCACAAGTGCACCGTTTGAATCAGCAAGATTTCTACTCTCGAAATCGTAACTACAGGAACAAAACTGCCACGCGAACACGCGCCTACCCGAATTACTAATGTGGACAGTCCTGCCCTGACCCTACCTACTTAGGTTTAAACACACATACCAGAGAATAAGTTACCTACCTACCTAACCCTATATTTAAAAAATTGCAAAACTCAGTCTCTCAAACAAACACTCCACGGTTCTCATTCTGAATGTCCGGGCGCGACCTAAACTAGAGAGGACTCCCCGGGGTTCCTCCGACACCCGGACACAATCTCATTCATACTCTAAATGTACGTACCATTTCTGGAATCGACTGACAAAGCTAGTGCTCATTGCGTACTTTTATTATTTATGTAAAACATTTTAATATATCTGATATAGTCTTTATTAAAATATACTCTATACATATATGATTATATAAGATTGAAAAGCTAATTCATTATGCATTTTACAATATTATTGACGTGTATGCAATACGAACAATTGTCAAGTAAATAATAACTATAAGTTTAATATTATTATTGTGATTGTTATGAATCTAATGTCAAAAAATTCTGTATCTGAATTGTAATAAACTTTTGAAACGATGCACTTCCACATCCTAACCACAAACACACATATGTGGACAGTACATCGTGCACGAGACACTAGCATTGTCAGTCGCACGGATAAATTATTATTATAAATGTTACAAACTAAGTCATCGTGCCCCGTTGCCTTCGCTCGTGCAAATAACACTTGGGCATGTGCATGAGCTTAGGCAACGAACACGGGAAAGTATCCTGAAAATCCTGACTAGAACAACTGGTTATTAATAATTAACTAAACGGTATCTATTCTCAATTAAAATGACTCCACTTGTTATATGTAATATATCAACAACAGAGTACGTTAATATTGAAAGATATTATTATTCAAGAAAAATTTGTGATTGAAATTTAATTGTTCAAAATGTAAGACTGTAATAAAGATTTCATGATAAAATAATTTACTTTGCAAATTGAAATAAATTTGTTAAATTATTATTCAAAATACTCAATTAACCTTGGTCGATTCTGTCGTCAAAGTAAATTTAAAAAAAAATAAAATTAACATGCATGTTCCTTTGAGTTGAAAATCGACCAGTCGCGAAACGCCTTCTTGCACATAAAATACATCATATGATGTATTAATTAATAAAACGAATATTTAATAATTATATTAATGATGTAAGATATTTTACTCAATCATACGATTAATATAATGTTTTCACATTATATTAATTCATATTCTACTCAATTATTTAATTCATATAAAGATAATAAACATATTTCATATATTTTATCAAAATTGTGTAATAATCATATTGTGTAATATTTATTGATAACATTAAAAAACGCGAGTGCAAGAAGACCCTAGCCTGCACTAAAAAAATATAACTCACGGGTATTTTTCATACCCGCGGTCACTTAACTCGTCAAAAATATCAAGAATACAACTGGTCACCCGTGTTGATTCGGATATTTCATCCTACAACATGGTTGGGGACCAGAGGAAACAAAATAGCATGCGACTCACCAACTGTAGAATTCAAGCACCCGGGCGACGATGTTGCCTAGTAGGAGTCATCAGCGAAGTCATCGGCGACGTTAGAAACGAAGTCAGCATCAAGGTCAGCAGCGAGATCATCGTCGAGTTTCTCTGGATCCACAAGTACGATGATGAGATGTCAGGATCCTTTAGAAGGAAAGAGTAAATGTTTTTACGAAAGGTTTCTACCGTATTTGAAAATTTGATGGCAAATTTAAATCAAACAATTTTTTTTAAGCGTCCTCGGAACAAAATACAAAGGATACTTACATTTTTCGCACGTGAGCATCGCCAAATACTCTTTTTCGTACAGATACAGGTTTCCTGTCGAAACGTGTTCACAAACTCTCAAAGCGTGACCGTAGTTTGGTCGCAGTTGAGAGTCTCGTGTGGTTGAATTGTAATTACGAGCTGCCACAGAAATAAAACACAAATTTGTTAACAGACACTTATTAATATTGGATAAATGCATCGATGGATAATAACGAAAAGAAGAGAACCGGTTAAAAATGAAAAATACGTTTGACCGTAGTTGAGCGTCCCGTGTTTGAATTGTAATTACGCGCTCTTACAGAAATAAAACACAAATTTGTTAATATGCACTTATTAATATTGTATAATTGCATCGATGGAGAATGACGAGGAGAATAGAAATGGTCAAAAATAAAAAATACGTACCTAATTAGACGCGAAGCTGTCAACGCACTTCTCACACCACTTTCCAGACGAGGAATGACGAACAGGATCGGACACGATCTCGCGCGAGGAGTGGGGAGTGGGGTGGGGAGTGGGGTGAGGGAGTCACGTAGTCCGTCTCGACTCTTGATGTGTATCTTCGAAATAAAGGTTAAACCTTATATGTATCTCGAAGAACTGAAAATAAATAAAATTAAGACACGAAGAAAATAAAATTAATATAAAAAGATATGAAACAAACAATTAATTAATGATTTATAATCTTTATACTCCTGTGACGTCACAATGAGAAGCTGTCATTGGCTGATCTAATATCGATCTGTTATTGGTTGCATATATAACTAGATCAATTAAAATATATTAATTATAACCATATAATGCGTAAGTATTAACTTTCAATCGAAATTTCAATCAGTTTTTCATATAAAAGTTTCTTTTGTTTCTACTAAATTTTCTAAAGATATTTATTTTAATTCTCACTAGATATCCAACCTTCTTTGACGCGGTGTCGATAACACTGAACTTGACGCAGTTTGGTAAGAAGTCTTCTACAGGCATAAACGAAGTGTGAAGTAGACGCCGAACGCGATATTTTTTCGTAACACAGGGATTAAGGGCACAGACAATGCATAGTATAGACGCATAAAACAACAGTGTTAGTGTCACGCAGATCAGGAATTCATGAGTCGATCTCCAAGGTGAAGTCGAGAGGCCGGCGTCCGAGAATGTAAACACAACCTGACCGAGCTTTTAAAAGATAAGAAACGTATCGCATCATTATCCTTGGCTTAGGAATGCTAACAATGGTAAGAATAAAATT